GTAAATCAAGAGCCAAGCGTTTCAAAGATCATGCACCAGTTTGGTGCACATAAGAATAAACAACTATAGCACACAACACAGAACGAACTATTTCTCCTTGCTAATAACAAAACATACACCAAAACCAAGAAATCCAAACACATCCAGGAATTGATCATGTTTCTAACTCATAACTGAGTATATACAACTCAAAACATATAAGTTAACCAAATGGAGATGTCTCTAACTCTGAATCCACTACAAATATACCAGGACAACTTTAGATTGCCAATGGAACTTCCAAAACTTCTCACCCTACAAAGCATGTCCCATCCAATCCTGCTTGGCCTGATGACAGGCATTGTGGGTCCACTTTTCACCTTTTTGACACATAAGGTGGTATTGAAGGTCCATGCCACATGTCCAAATTGAAGAAATAACTAGGCTGTCAACTGGGTCCCATTATTTTAATCTAGAAATATAACAGTCCGTATACAGTTGGCTTATTTATTGTAGCTGTACTAGACAAAATAGCATAATACAGATTCGTATTTTAAACGTCTTAGTGACCAAAACTTGTCAAGTTCCCCAGGAGCCTATCCACCACACTTAACTGGACTAATGGAAGCTCACTTAGGACAACAAACCAACTTAAGCTAGCATATAATGAGTTAGTCCTTTGCAGAGATTGAAGAACCTCAGCTCAGCTAGAGTTTCAATAAGATTGATGGAAGGGGCTCACACAATACTCTGCTTAACCAAGATAACATTGATATAAGTCCTAAGACCTACCCCAGAAGTTGAATTCCACCAGAATGATATATCCCATGCAGCCTTACACCATGACCAGGAAAACACAGAATTGTTGCCCTTCAGTTGGTATAACATGCTGAAAATCAGCAACTTGCAAAAACTTAAATGGACATACAAAGTATAAACATCCATGTGTATTTTCGGCTTAAGGTGTGGACATAGATCTCTACATTCGAATTTATTTACACACAAGATAGTGGAGGTGACATCAGTTTCTGTCAAGATGTTAATGTCCACTTTCCTTTATACATTTGAGTTTCTTTATAGAGATGTTAATGTCCTTTAGTCTTACAGAAATTTTCATGTAACAGTTACAAATTCAAGTTTCTAATGTTATTATTATGGTTGCCTTTGGGAATCTACTACAAT